CTTTTCAAAGTCACTAAAAGAAAGAAAGTGTTTAACCTTAGCCAAAAATCTCAATTGAAAAAAACTGGCTTTAACTACAGACTTTATCTGTTCGTCCACCTTAAGAGCACCATCAAATACCACCCCAAGATTTCTCACATGAGGCATTAGCTATTAAGTTTGCAGACAATGTTATTTAGCTGCTAAAAATGGATTTTGGTCCAGAATTCTGAAGCCAGTTGTTCTGTTGGAGCGGCACTGGGGGTTTGAACAATGTCTGTCTGCCATATGAGGTTGTAACCTTGTCAACCTTCCATTAGGTGTGGCAAGAGGAAGGGCTTTTAAGCTATTTTCTTCTAGTCACAGGTTTTCATGCAGATCTTATAAGATAATTTCAAACATGTGTAAGTGTCACAGATAAACAGCTGAAACTGACATTATGCCTGTGGATGATCGAAACAGCAGGTATTTAGCATTGTTTTTTAGAACTTTATTTTTATTGTGACCCTTAGTACTTAAATGTGCACAGTGGGAAAATGGTCTGAAATTAAAGTAACATGTAAAATCCTTACCTGGTGTGCAGATGTTGACAGGTGTTTACTGTTTGAGAGTGAAGGTGCAGCTGCTGACTGCTCTAACCTGAAGTGCTGCTTTTTAAATACCATAAACATGAACCATCGTTATCATGATCTTAGTGGTTGTCTTCTCTCCGCCCCTTGTCTCCCATTTGGTCTTAGACCCAGCCCATGTCTTTGTTACACTTTTAGAGCACATATATGGAATGACACACAGTATTTGCTCAGGTTAAACAGTGGCTGGCCCAACTGGCTTGGTAGGCAATTACATCTGAGAGCTGTGATCTAACACATCATCTAACAGGCAAACGACCTCTTCTGGCAGACTGTGGAGAAAGGAACAGAACTGACTGATGCACAAAGGTATTCAAGATATTCTCAGTATGTTAACCTTAACTTTTGTATCATAACCCACCAAAGAAATAAACCTCTCACAAATTAATGAAGCTGAACCGGCAGGTTCTATTTGACATGGATAAATTAATACACTTATTTTAGAGGCAAGTGGCACCGTCAACACAGTAGAGTTAACTTGCAATGTACTCAGACTCTTCTTTGCTTTTAGAGATACAGTCATTTTTCTAGGGCACCAGTATGATGGCACTAATTAAACACATGAGAAACTCCCTGCCCAACAGATCCTGAAACAAAACCTGACACTGTATGAGCTATTACACTATAGTCTTTTGGATCACCAAGCTACATATCAGGGCATATTCATCAGCCAAACAGTAGTATCATGTGGGGTTTTTGCCTTGCATTTGCTGATATCAGTGGCAACTTAGCTGGGTGGAGACGAACTGTTCCAGGACAACAAGATTATACAGTTCTTCATGTGAACCAACACTTGAAGCAAAACACCAGCGATTAAACTGTAAATCCACATTTGTGTGTCAGTCTTTTTACCATTTCTAAGATGTCTGTCTGGCACCAGTTCATAAGCTTTCAGAACTGCTACCACTCTCTGAGGATGCCTGGGATTCTGCAGCTCAAGACTCCTCCCTCCAATTCTGCACAGGCAACATTAAATATCTAGGTATCAGTATCTCCCCCAGGGTTTCAGAACTTTTTACCTCAACTACACCCCTCTGCTAAAAAGATAGAAGACGATCTCAAACGCTGGTCCAATCTTCCTCTCTCACTCGTTGGTTGAATAGCTACTGTCAAAATGAAAACTCTACCTCAAATCAACTATCTGTTTACAATGCTTCCCACAAATAAATGATTTAAATCACTTGATTCTATAACTTCACAATTTTATTGGAAAAACAAGAAACCCAAAATGTCTCTATCTACTCAAAAAGAAGAACTCACTAGGTGGCCTAGAAGCACCAAATATTACTACTTGGCAAATCAGCTAAGGTATTTAGTCAAATGAATTCAGAATGACAGCTGCAACAGTGCATGGATAAAACAACCTAAATAATTCAGTTGCAGACCTCCCTTTTCTACCAAACTCTATTAAGAAAATGAATTACTGTAAGAACAACACAATCCTCTCAACTCTGACAGCCTGGTGGAAAGTACACAAAATTACTAAATCATCACTTGCATCACCATGTAGATACACTCCAATTTGGCACAACCCTGATTTTAAACTGCATAATAACCCTATCTATTTCCCAGCATGGCAACACAAAGGAATCACTCACTTACATCACCTATTTGAAAATAACCAGTTCATATCATGCTGACCTACAACTGTGTGACAACCTGCAAAGTTTGCAGATGACACGACTGTGGTTGGCCTCATTACCAACAATGATGAGGTCAATTACAGGAGTGAGGTGTGCCAACTGGTCCAGTGGTGTAAGGACAACAACCTCTCCCTCATTGTGGGGAAGACAAAAGAGATCATGTGGACTTCAGGAGAAAAAGCTCTAAAACATCCACCACTGACCATTGACGGTGCTGTAGTGGAGAAAGTGAGCAGTACCAAGTTCCTGGGGCTACACATCTCTGAGGACCTCTCCTGGACCAACAACACCACACCACTGGCCACGAAGGCTCAAACACTTCCTCCACAAACTGAGGAGAGCCAGTGCCCCACACTGTAAACCCGAACAGTATATCTGAATAAATGATTCAAGTTAACATGACTTAATCTTCAAGAAAAGTTGTTTTCACACAACCTAACTCAAAAATAAATTGTTCAAGGAATAACTCGTTTGTTTTGAGCGTATTTAAATTTTTGGGACATTTTAAGTACTGATCATATATTGCTGTTAGTTGCATGCACTTAATTTCTCTAAATTCGCTTCAATCCTGACCTCCTGGCATGTGCAGTACAGCCCTTAGGGCCACATGCACACGGCACAGGACGCACCCGGTTTGGACCAGTCTGCAAACATGGTTTAAAAAGGACGTCGTGGGATGCTGCGTGTTCCTGACAAGATTTAACACTATTTTTCTCCTTGGAAAAAGTTACGGTCGTCTTCTAAACTAGGTATGCTGTTTACCATTTACTAGCTAGCTAGCTAGCTCACCACACACCAGCTTTAAAAGTCATATACTCCTTCACACACGTTCTCTTATGGTTTCCAGACAACTCGCGTTAATTTAATTTGATAGCATACCGAACATATACCAACGAAAATGTACTTGGGAGCTTAGAGAAACAAAGCTAATGCTAAATGTTAGCCAACGCTAACTATAGTGTCGGTTTTCTTTGGCGCGCATAGTTTTTGAACAGTGTAGTGAGCTGTGGAAAAACTGCTAACGAAAACAAGTTGTAGTGGTTTTATTGTTATTTGAGGGCACAATGTGGAAATGTAAGCTGTGTGGTTTTTCTTGTTCCTTAAAAATACAGTTACTGAGACATGACAGGCTCAGTCATGGCCAGTATTCCACAGTTTCACCTTTGCCGTGCTTGTATGATAAATGCATGTGTGCATTCAGTACTTTTAATTCACTATATGTTCATTTGTCAAGAGAACATCCAGAAAAGAAACGGGTAACCTTGGTTGGAGACAGTGGTGTGATTTCTAAGGCATTTCATTGCCCACTATGTGATTTTAAGCAGCCATTTGTTGAGATGGATATGTTTAATCATTTAAGAGGCCACTTAAGACAGAAAGAAATGGTGCCATGTCCATTTCAGGCATGCAAGTTTAAAACTAATGTCTACTCCACATTTAATGCACACAAGTGCAGAGAACATCAAAATGCATCAAACTATGACATAGCAGTTGTAGTGCAGCATGTGTCAAATGTTTTCCAGGATAGTTACACTGAAGATGAACAAGGAGAGCTTTCAGAAGAAAGTGAAATCAGCCCTATAGAAGGCAGTAGCGCTGGATTACCAGAGCAGTTGGAGTTCAATCTGGCTGCTTTCTTCTTGAAAATGCAAACTATTCTTCATGTATCACAGAGGGCAACACAGGAAATCATTGAGCATATTGATCAGTTGTTTTCACTGTCAGGACCTGTTGTCAGAGAATCTGTTATCAACATATTGAAAAAACACAACTGCCCTGCTACTGACACACTTGTAAATGACATTGTCCGGGCAGTTTCAGAGAGTAATGTTTTGCATAAATCTGTTACATCTGAGGGACCACTGTCAACCACTAAGAGGCGAAAATCATATTATGAGGAGAAGTTTCCATTTGTTAAACCTGTAGAATATCTTATTGAGTCATCACAGCATACCTATATGTATGTTCCCATTCTCACATCATTGCAAATGTTGCTGAAAAAAAACAGATGTACTTGAGAAAGTACAAGATGTCAGTTCACATTCTTCTGGTGAGTATTTGTCATACTGTGATGGCTCCTACTACCAGGAAAACAGACTTCTCTCAGAAAAGGGTCAGAAATTATCAGTCATTCTCTATGTTGATTTGATTTTTTTGATTTGATTTGATTTGATTTATTCTTTCAAACATGCAGAACAGAACAAATGACAGCAACACACACACACACACATAATTACACATATCCAACCAATGCTAATCCAAAATCAGTTTGCTTACACCTAGTACATGTTTGAATGGAGTAGGAAGAAGTCAGACTTATCCAGTCCTACCCCATGACATCATATTATACAAAAAATTCCATGCAACATTGGCTGCAAGCAGTATCTCTACATAGGTAATTGTCTTCTTCACCAACAAGTAATACACAGCAAATTAAAACAGAGTGTTTCCTTAATGCCTTCTCGAATAAATCTTATTCTTGCATATATCTTGTATGACACATACATTTATATTTATATTTATATTCAAACTCCTCAATTCTAGTACTATTTTTCATGTCCACACTTAAATTATTCCATAGTTTTACCCCACTTATAGAAATACAAAATCTTTTTTTGGTTGTACGTATAGCATGAACTTTTAGATTTAAGTGACCCCTTAAATTATATCCCCCTTCCCTTTCATCAAATAACTTTTGGATTCCACCAGGTAATACGTCGTTCCTGGCTTTATACATAAACACTATACAATTACACTTGCATTAAGGATGTATTTCTTTTTTAGGAAGAATCTGAGGCAGACCAAGAGGGGCCAGTGGCTTTGGTGGCAGTGGTCAATGGAGAAGTGCCTGCAGGAATCCCCTTTGAAATTAACCATGTGTCAGTCGTCCTTGAGGGGCAAGTTGTTATGTATCACAGATCCTGGACAGACTCACTGGTGGGTTTGTTTGGACTGATGTATGCTCTACATTTGAGCTATCCTGAGAAGCTAAGTGGCTTCTTTGAGTTCATACAAGTTGTGCTCCTAAAGCTTGATGATGGCAGAAAGCAGCTCAAACCAAAGTTACAGGCCCTGAGAAACGAACTGGAATGAGCCTGTTTGTCACTGGAGGTCTGCAGTGCCTTACAAAGATTTGGCTTGCATGCCAAAAATTAATGCTGCTTTGTGTTTATTCAGTTCATACTGTTCCTTTTTATATTTAACCACTTGTTAAATGATAAAACATTTTTATTTTTATGTCATGTGGTGACATTTGCCAGCTTTTTTGTACTATGTACAGTACTTTATACTTTAGTACTTGTAACTGATGTTAAAGTGTTGTTGAAATGTATTGAAAAATATTTTGTTACGTTCTGTTTTGAATTTTTGAACAAAATAAAAAGTTGTCTGACATACTCATATCTATTGTGTTGTTAAAACTTAAATCACTTTCCTCAAATGACTTGAGTAGCTACAGCAAAGATTGAAGTTGACATAACTTGATTGTAATAACTTGTCTTAATGGAATAAGATTTAGTAAATTAAACTTAAGTAGTAATATCTGTGTTAATTTATACATATAATTTAGACTTACTTGATCTGTAAAAGTTAAATGTACTAATTTTAAACAAGTTAGGGTGATGCTTCATATGAGTTCAACTAATATCATAGTGTTAGTTAGATTAACTTGAATCTATTTTGTGTACTTAAATCGTTTGAGTTAATTAACTCAAACGATTTAAGACAATCACTTTCCTCAAATGGTTTGAGTTCAACTAACTCATCAGGTTTTACAGTGCACCCCCCATCATGTGCTCCTTCTACCAGGGCACCATTGAGAGCGTCATCACTGGCTGCATCACTGTGTGGTACGGAGCCTGTACTGCCTCCTGCAGAAGGACCCTACAATGCATAGTGAAAACAACCAGCAAGATCATTGGTGCCCCTCTGCCTTCCCTCACAGACATTTTCAACACCCGCAGAGCCATCAGCATTGCTGATGACACCTCCCACCCTGCACACTCCCACTTCAGACTCCTGCCTTCAGGGAGAAGGTATCGGAGTCTCAGTAGAGTGATGTCTCAGTTACTTCTGACAGAACACATCACATTAGAGAAAATGACATCCACTCACAAGAATAGTTTATCAGCTTTTTATGACACATGGAACCCATTTTTAACACATTTCAACTTGAACCAAGCACCTGGGGCTGAGGCCACGCACATTCCCACCAACCTCTAAAAATGTAACAAGCTGATTTGATTAGTAGTACTGTTATCATTGTTATTCTTGTATTTTTTTTCTCATTCTCCCTTTCTTGCCCTTCATAGACTACATACAGTATTGTTCAAAATAATAGCAGTACAATGTGACTAACCAGAATAATCCAGGTTTTTAGTATATTTTTTATTGCTACATGGCAAACAAGTTACCAGTAGGTGCAGTAGATTCTCAGAAAGCAAACAAGACCCAGCATTCATGATATGCACGCTCTTAAGGCTGTGCAATTGGGCAATTAGTTGAAAGGGGTGTGTTAAAAAAATAGCAGTGTGGCATTCAATCAGTGAGGTCATCAATTTTGTGAAATAACAGGTGTGAATCAGGTGGCCCCTATTTAAGGATGAAGCCAGCACTTGTTGAACATGCATTTGAAAGCCTGAGGAAAATGGGTCGTTCAAGACATTGTTCAGAAGAACAGCGTACTTTGATTAAAAAGTTGATTGGAGAGGGGAAAACCTATAAAGAGGTGCAAAAAATTATAGGCTGTTCAGCTAAAATGATCTCCAATGCCTTAAAATGGAGAGCAAAACCAGAGAGACGTGGAAGAAAACGGAAGACAACCATCAAAATGGATCGAAGAATAACCAGAATGGCAAAGGCCCAGCCAATGATCAGCTCCAGGATGATCAAAGACAGTCTGGAGTTACCTGTAAGTACTGTGACAGTTAGAAGACGTCTGTGTGAAGCTAATCTATTTTCAAGAATCCCCCGCAAAGTCCCTCTGTTAAAAAAAAGGCACGTGCAGAAGAGGTTACAATTTGCCAAAGAACACGTCAACTGGCCTAAAGAGAAATGGAGGAACATTTTGTGGACTGATGAGAGTAAAATTGTTCTTTTTGGGTCCAAGGGCCACAGACAGTTTGTGAGACGACCCCCAAACTCTGAATTCAAGCCACAGTACACAGTGAAGATAGTGAAGCATGGTGGTGCAAGCATCATGATATGGGCATGTTTCTCCTACTATGGTGTTGGGCCTATTTATCGCATACCAGGGCTCATGGATCAGTTTGCATATGTCAAAATACTTGATGAGGTCATGTTGCCTTATGCTGAAGAGGACATGCCCTTGAAATGGTTGTTTCAACAAGACAATGACCCCAAACACACTAGTAAACGAGCAAAGTGTTGGTTCCAAACCAACAAAATTAATGTTATGGAGTGGCCAGCCCAATCCCCGGACCTTAATCCAATCGAGAACTTGTGGGGTGATATCAAAAATGCTGTTTCTGAAGCAAAACCAAGAAATGTAAATGAATTGTGGAATGTTGTTAAAGAATCATGGAGTGGAATAACAGCTGAAAGGTGCCACAAGTTGGTTGACTCCATGCCACACAGATGTGAAGCAGTTATAAAAAACTGTGGTCATACAACTAAATATTAGTTTAGTGATTGACAGGATTGCTAAATCCTAAAAACAAAAACGTTTGTACAACATAGTTTTGTGTTTGTACAGTCAACGGCAGACACTATTTTTTTTTAACACACCCCTTTCAACTAATTGCCCAATTGCACAGCCTTAAGAGCGTGCATATCATGAATGCTGGGTCTTGTTTGCTTTCTGAGAATCTACTGGTAACTTGTTTGTCATGTAGCAATAAAAAATATACTAAAAACCTGGATTATTCTGGTTAGTCACATTGTACTGCTATTATTTTGAACAATACTGTAAGTTGGAAATACCCACTCTTCACACTCTCACACACTACAGTCATGTAAAACCCTCTACAATTTTGTTTCAATAAAAAAAAAAAAAAAAGGTATGATCCTCCTGAGGCTGTCCTCTGGAATGTGCAACCCGCTCAAACAGGCAAAAGAATATATCCACATAGTTGCCATTGATTTTTGGCAGTAATTTCAAACTAGCAGCAAGAAGCAGAAGCTGTGTTATTGCCAGCGAATTCAGCAGACAGTGACCTTCTTCAATCAGGTCTCTATTTTCAACCTTTGTTAAATTAGCTGTTGCAGATAAAAGATCAGTAAGAAACCCATTTAGTCTTTTCACCCACCGAAATTCTTCCACTGACTTAGCTTTTAGAATACTTTTAATAGTACCATTCAGTCTATTAGCTCCAATTACAATTGTCAGGTGTTCATCAATCTTCGACAGCTACTCTTTGGTGCACTGGTCTAACAACTTTAAAGAGGGTGTCTGAATGAAAGAATCCACCTCAGGAGCAATGCTAAGAGTGCTTTTACCTGAAACAAGTAGCTAAACACTGGGTAAAATTGTTAAAGTAATACATTAGGATTAGTTTTAATATTAGACTGAATTAAGAACTTAGTTAGTAGAAGATTGACACTATGTTTGTTGATTAGTTAACTTGTTTGTTCACTTTGTTTGTGTATAACTATTCTATCATATTAGAAAAGGAATAGTTACGATTATATTTTAGAAATACATAAGTTCACATACTTACATGTCACAGATATGTTTATGAAGTTACTATTCACCACATTATATGTTCACTAACATGATGAGAAAGTTACTGTATGCATACATACTGAAAACTCTGTGTGATATTACAGGCCCATGAGAT